CTGCCACCTCAACCATGCAATACTGGACACCTCCCCAGTGTCTCCCACTGTCCTTAACAGGTCAGGTTCTGCTGCTAGGCATTTGCAGGAATTATCGTGCCTTGATTTCTAAAAGTACTGATGGGAAAGGGCAGAAAGGCTCAGCAACAGTAACAGCTTTTGCTTCTGCACATAAATGTTAGAAAAAAATAAAAGAAGGCAAAGGAGAAACAAATAGTCAAAACTGATCCAGAGTTCTTCCTCCTATAATAGTTATTTTACCTCTCACAGAAATTAGGAAAACCCTCAAAATATTTTATTCAAAAGAAAATCCAAAGCTGTGTCATTAGTCCTTCCAGCCTTCAATACTTCTTCTATACTGTCTTCAAATTACTCAAAAATCTAAGTTTAAAGACTCCTTAAGAAACCAAAACCATAATGCCAACATACAGAGTTTCTAAGAGATGATATAATCCAGCTCCTAGTTTCTGAAATTAGGGTTATTAAGGCCTAAAGTTATAAAAATGATACATTAGCTTCACTGTGTCTCCCATAAATTCACATGTTCAAGTTCCAGAACTTCAGAATGTGACTGTGTATGACTGTGGAGACAGGCTCTTTATAAAGTAATTAAATTAAAATGAGCCCATTAGGGTCCATCCCAATCCAATATGAGGCATCATTATAAAAGAATGTCTGGATACAGGCAGGAAAGGAAGACCCTGCGAGGACAAAGGAAGAAGATAAATACCTTCAGGTAAAGAGAAAATTCTAAAACAAACTTCCCTTGAGGCTCTCACGGGACAGTCATGACACCTCAACTGCGGACTCATTATACTATAGAACTATGGGGCGATAACCTTCTGTGCTTTTAACTACCCAGTCTATGGTTCTTTGTTATAGTACCTTGGCAGACAAATACTAGTGTTACATAAGCTCATCTCAAGACTTAGAATAAAGTCACCCTCCTGGAAAAACCCAGGCTTCAGTGTACCAAGTGTCACCAGGCTTCTGCTGCCCCATGTTGCCTTGAACCTACCCTTCCAGGTGCTAGAACCTTGCCTCATCCCAGAAAATATGTATGATGTGACCCTACTTGCTTTGTCCACTGGACTGCTACCAATGGATCTGCTTGTCACAACAGTTCTGTAACAGCACTAGGAACCTGCTCTTAACTTTGAACATAGATCAGCACCCACAAAAAGTTTAGCCTGGTTAATGTCAACATATCGTAGGGAGCATGTCTGATGGCCAGTTTCATTCACCAGATGCCTTCCAGGTGTTGGGTCTTGCTCCTCTCCTATTCCCTCATATTTCGGGTCTACCAGAAGCAAATTCAGTGGCCTTGTCAACTTTGCCTTCTTCCACAGCTCAGATAGAAATGGAAACCACTGTCCCAACTCAGTCAAAGGTCTTCAAACCCATCAAATTGAGCACTCTCTTTAGACAACAAATATTTTTAGTACTTTTCATTGCCTTTGCTACTATGAAATGAAATTCACATGTAATATGATGCACATATACTCCTAATTTCAAATATTTACATATAATTTCAGATGTGCCAATCTTTATGTACCTAAAACAGATCTATAGATTAAATATACAATGTATACAGATATGCATACAAAAGTATGGGCTTAGTGCCGAGAAATGACATTCATAGATAATAAGACAAATGCACACATACAATTTCAAATATTTATAATTATAATTTCAATGCCTTTATCTATGTAACTGAAATGGTAAAGCAAAACAGAAAGAAGTTTATAATACAACAATCTCTTGAAATATAGAAATGGGGACAACTATATTGGAAAACATACTGAAGAGTGTTGCTCATATCTACATGTAGAATCAGCATAAGTACAACCACTACAGATGCAGACTGATCCAAAGCACTACATGAGTGACTTCAATAACATAAGCAGTGATACCATTAGCCACATGACTTTTCTGGAACATGAACAACTTATAGTAAAGTTCTCAATGAAACACAATTCTGTCTACCTTGATTTATACTATAGATCTATTTCTGGAAAATTTGCCATGTATTAAATCTGTGCAGAGCATATTTTTTGATTTCATGAGAAACAACTGACAGTTATAAGCTCAGAGAAATGTAAACAGGGTTTTCACTTCTGTGAATGTCTAGCAATTTATGCAAAAGCTTTGTAGAACATGAGATAATTAGTCACTGTACTAAAATAGGAAACAACATTTTTTTCCTGCAAATAATCAGATAATACATGCTTCACCTGTTTGGGGGCCATCCAGTGTGCCATGAGTCCACAGCTCTGAGACTGCAGCCACAGGCAATACATAAAGAAATGGAATCGGTTGCGTTCAAACAGAACGTGACTTACAACCAAAGGTTGAAGACCACAGAGAGCAGTAGTCTCTCTCAGTAGAAAAATCTCATAAATACTATGGATATCCAGCTTGCAACCACTACATTTCAGTGCACTGTCTGATTACTATGATGACAAAAACAGCACCTTCAGACCAACAGCCAACCCACCCAGGGCCCACTAGTAATTGGGAATCCTGATCTAACCCATTCCTATGCACTGCTCTTGGCAAAGACATTGCATTTGCTGATCTCTTGCCCTCTTCTATGCCTGTCTGGAATGCAATTTCCCAATCTTCTCTTCAACATTTAATCTTATTTCTAACTCAGGTTTGAACTGATACCTTACTTCCCTTAACCTTCCCTTAAGTAAGAATTTCCTTGGAATTGGCAGTACTTCAGAAATGATTTGGCATAGATATGCCACTACATATTAATTTATTATCTGTATTTTCTGTCTGCCACCTGAAAGTAGATCCCTTGAGGACTGAGAATATATCTAATATGCCATCATATTTATAGACTCTAGTTTAATGATTTTCTGTAACTCACTCAACGGCAATTAGAGTGATTGCTCTTCTGGATGGAGTGGATATAAGGTTCCTGACTTCACTAAAATTATGTATGAACAGACCGAGGGATACACCATTTCCAATTCTAAGAAGAATGATAAAGCAAATAAACAGAGTGGTAGCGTGGTGAACACAGACGGTAAAATAACGCTTAGCTGCTATTTTAGACAGGATGGCCAGAGGAAACCTCGCTGAAAGAGGCTATTTGAATTGACACCTGGAATATAGAAAGAGCAAGGAAGCACACTGTAGCCAGAGGGAAGACACATGTGAAATGCCAGAGACAGGAAATGTGTGGCACAGCTGAAGGAAACCAGGCATGCAGCACTTGAGATGGTCTGAAATGAAGGCACTGATACAATATGGTTTAGGGTTTTAAATAGATAACATCAGTTTAAAGAGTACAGGGCAGGAGTGGTGAGGACTAATAAGAAGCTGGGGCCGAAGTCTAAAACAGAACTGATGATTCCCTTGGACTGAGGCTGATGGTGAGCAGAGACTGGAGCTATCCGAAGACCGTGCAGAGGTACTGTTCAGAGATACAACCAGGAGGACTTGCTCAGGGTCCAGACTGAGAAAGGGGAGCACTAGACGTTCTTACTGATGTGAGAAGGATGTACTACGAGATATGAGGCAGGGACCACAGCTGAATGCAAGTCTGACATAACTGTTCTACAATACAGCTGACTCTTGAAGGACTGAATCAGCCTTACCTTCCCACAGTGAGCTACACTTGGAGTGATATATTATGCTTCTTACACATTATAGATTCTAAAGGTGATGATACACAGGCAGAGCATACACACAAAGCGGACGGAGGCAGGTTCTTATGAGAGCTGTGTGTGTGTCATTCAATACTTTATAGATGCCATTTAATCTCATGAACTGAATAAAATCAAACAAAGAAAGTCATCAGAGGAAAGAAGGCCCTTTCCAGTCCTGAAGCACTCTGAAGTTTAGAAAAAGAACCACCCTACGACAAAGAGAGAACTTACCTACTTGAAAATCTGGGGTCAGAGAGAAAGATTCAGCCATACGCCAGCTGATGAAAGGTTGGGTACAGTAGAACAGAGAGGCATATTTGATTTGGTCATGAGGAGGAGACTGGCAAAACTCAAAAGTTTAACAAAAAAAAAATGAAGTGAGATGGAGAATGGGACACTAGAAAGTGTGACAGTGAGATAGAACAGTGTCAAGTGCAAACCACATCAACAGTAGCAGAAAGCAAAGCAGGCCAGTGTGGGGGCACATGCAGCTGTGGACACTTTGCTAAAAGCCAGTGAGGTAATCACTGTTATTTATTGTATTTGGATCAACAGAAACAATAGATGTTATCCCTTCCGTGTAAAAATAAACTTAGATCTTAGGTTGAGGCACTCTGTACTTTTAGAAAGGTAGTACAGGCAAAGCCATTCATCATATGTAGGTGTTATAAACCTGAACTGAGACGTTCCCACCAATGAGTGAAGGTACCTTTCTTTTCTTCAAACAGAGAAACTTTCCTATGCAGAAAGTAATAAATAGCACAACTTTATTTTACGAAAACTAAAATTTTAAATAAGACAACTACATCATAGAAGTTTTTGTAAAAGTGGCATAGTAGACAAAATATTACAACATAAGTGGCTCAAATACATAACAACTATGTATTAATATGAAAGCCAATAGGAAATACAGTAAGGGGCAGGAACAAAGAAATCAAGAAAGACAAAACTTAAAAGACTTAACAAGACTGTATGATCATCTCTTGTTTTTAAGATTTTTCCCATAACAGCCATGAATACAATGGTAAACTAGCAATATAAGTTAGCAGCTCTTCACACGTATCCAGATGTATGTATAAAACTCCTCAATGTCATACATAGCCTTGTTTCAACGTGCCACATTTTTTCCCATGATAAGACATACAGCAGGATGGTCTTTTCTTATTTCACATGGCCTAAAAGGATTCTCAAAGGCACTGATTTGTTACTTTCATCTTCCACCTCCAACGGGAGACATAGCAACGCAATTTCACCCCTCTACAAATGCAGCAATATTACTTACATAGCTACAAGCATCAGGGCAACAAAGACGCAGAGATGGTAAGTGAAGGTGCCTACCTTCCCTGATGGCTGTGAAAGGTGTCCCCTCTTCTTCCTGCAGCCTGATTACTTTCAAGGCCACCAACTTCCCGTTCACCCTGTGGGAAACAAAAGACAAGATGAAAAGAATTTGCAAAAGCATGGGCCTATTATGGTCCTAATTGCCTTTCTTACCATTTTTATTTTATGTGCACTGGAAATGAAAGTGACTCAATTATATCACCACAGCAAGACTGGCTTCGGTGCAGCTCAGAATTATAGATCATCATCATAAATACCCATATTTTAAATATTCACACTTGTATAGGCCAAGATTTAAATGAGGTTTTCTGTGATTCATTCTGTTCCTTCCCAAAAGAAACTAGTATTTAACAAAATCACATCTGACAATTATTCTCAGATTAACTAAAAATCAAACAGTCAAAATAACTTATTCTTGGTTTCTCAATAGCTTTTCCTTGTTTCTTTTGCTGAAATGTCCTCATTATCATTCTTCACATGAAGTTTTTCAATCCCCAAGGACAAAAACTGGACACTTCTCAAGTGTCTCTCTCTCTCCCAGCACAAGTTCTCTCTCTTTCACCCTCTCTCTCTCTCCTTCCCTCGCTCCCCCATACTCATTTCCCCATTTTTCCTTTTTTTTGTACACTAAAATCTGTAGAATTTTTCCTAAAATTACATGGGACCTAGTTCTGTCTGTGTTTTATGTTGTATAATAAAATCATGAATATACTCTTATAAGACTCCTCAGACCTGTCCGAAGCAGGTGGTTCTTCGAGACATACCCTCATGTTTAGCCCTAATTAAAAGCGAAACTGTACTGTGGAGATAACTTTTTATCTAGTCAATTCTATCAACCACAAAGGCAAGACTGCACCAGCCTTCTCCCTGATGGCTCTATTTTCCACTTTTACTAGGCCTAGTTTTTCTTGTTGTTGTTAACTAAAACAGATTCTGTTAAAAATACATACCAAAAATATGAAATCCACAAGAAGTGAGTTGGTGAGAAGTACACTTCCCAACCACACCCTGCTCCAGCCACCCAACTCCCACTCTCGGAGGTCATCACTTACCATTGCTTATGTATCGCCATATTGAAGACTTGCATATATGTACGCATTACGCAAATGTGTATATACAAGCATAATGTACACACATATTATGCATATACACATACACAGTATAATTACAGAATGCTGTCTGTATTGTCTTTTGTTGAATATATTTTAGTGATTTCCTTATACATTCATAGAAAACATTCTCTCACTTTTGAAAGCCCACAAGATAGTCCTTTATGTACGTGTGCCATACTTAATTTAATCCTAGTACTCTACTGACAGGCATTTAGCTTATTCCCATTTTTTGTTATGATGGTGGTACAATGAATATTCTCTTACATGTAATCTTATACATATAAAAGGCCCGTATGACAGTTTTCTAAAACAAAAACTGCAAAGTCAAGAAATGATGCATCTCTAATCACTAACTTTGATGAACATTATCGGTGTTCAGTCAATGTTTGATTCTGTCAATCTGATAAGCCAAAAAAGGTTTCTTATTGCAATTTAATCATTTGTTCTTTTCCACCTTGGTGAGTAAACCCAGGTCCTCCACCCATGCTACAAAAGCTAGGCAAGCAGTCTAGCCTGAGCTGCCCCTCCAGCCCTCCTGCACCAGGACAACTGCTACTAAAGGAGGACTTAGAGCTTAAGGAACCACCAAGGACAGCTCATGGTCCCAGAGAATCCAGTGCCTAAATCTGAAATAATTATAATGTCTTCTCAAAAAGTACCCCTAATTGATCTATTTTTGCTCAAAAACTATCACAAACACAAAACCTAAAAAGCCAAGGGACTTACCACAGTCTACCAATCCCAGTCACACTTCTCACTGAACTAACTATTGAATTCATTGTTACTGTTACAGGACGTGACAAGGGCATCTGTTTACAAGGCCCTACAGTGTGCTGTCTCCTTGAGGTTGAGCTGCGCTGCTTGCTCCTCCTGTGTCAGCCAGCAGGACAGGCACACACCCCTTTCTGCGCACATTACCTTGATGCCTTAGTCCTGCTCATGCTTCAGATACCAGGCGCCCACCCATACACGACTGTGGGGGGGATTCAGCTGGAGACTACCCTGTGTTTGCTGCTTTGTCCTTTAGGAAGGAGGAAACCTTTGGCAGGGCTTGAGGCTGCAATGCAGTCAGTGCTGACATCTGCACAGATTTTTCTCAGCCCAGCTGAGCTCATCCCTGGCTCCCCAAGGAGGCAGGAACTGATTCCAGGAACTGCTTGGAAACTTCCCCTCATTTACAGATATTTTAGCCTCACCCATAAAACACACACGTGCACACTTCTTCCCACAAAGCTCTCCATTTCTATTGAGAAGTGTGAACTTGTATGTATAGTGAGCTGCAGGGACACTCTTGGCCATAAAAATCATGACTGGCCTATTACACAGTGAAAGGAGGCCAGCCATCAATGGAGTCAGCGCTCTCTAAATACAAGTAGTTAATGACTAATCTGCATCATTTTTGTAGTGAAAACTCTTTCAAACTTACTCTCCATAACTACACGAAAGAACAGGACAGAGAGGGGTGGAATTCTAGTTCTAAAAGTTCTATAAAATAAACTACCAAGCACTAAATGTTATAGGTTGTAACAACTGTAATATTTGATGCCACTGAGATTTTATTATATGTGAAACTAAAACTTTAAGCTCCAGAAGTGAAGGAACAGTTTTGTTAACTGATACATAACTTGTATCTCAAACAGAGCATGCTTTACCAAATGAATTATCATTTACACATTGACATATGTGCAAAATAAAGCCAGAATAAAGTATAAAAATTATTTCCAAAACAATTACAAGTCCAGGGCTGGAGAGATGGCTCAGTGGTCTAAAGCACCTACTTGGAACAAGCTTGGCAATGCACAGGGACTGCGGTTCAATCCCCAGCACCACATGCCAGCCAGCCCCGCTCCCTGGTGGGCTGAGCTGGCCACACACACACACACAATAAATAAATGTAATAAATAAAAAAAATAAAAAAACAATTACAAGTCCCAAAATTTTATAAAGCACTATATTATATTCTTTACTTTTATTTTCAGTTTAAATTTCTGTAATTTGTTTTTGGTGCATGTAGCTAAAGACAAGTTTCCATTTCCTTGCAGTTTTAGAATCTGTAGAGTGCTTTGATAATTAACCTTGTTACGCCCAACAGAAATGTTCTGGAACAATCACCATCTCGTAATAATCTCAGCACAGACCACTAATCAGCGTCTCTCTCCTGATTGCTTCATTGGTTTCCTATTAAGAATCATATTGATCATCAAATTGTTCTTTAACCTGAAAGTCACTGTAAATTTCCCCTTTCTTAATTAGTTTTTCTCTACAAGTCTGGATACTCACCAACTGCTGAGGCCCTCAGTTTTAAAGCTTACTACTTAAAAACATTAAGCTAGGCGCCACCTCTGGAAAAGGTGCCTTTGGCAAAAATAACAAA